CCGCGCCGCCCCCTGCCGGTGCCCCGCGGAACTGTGCCGCGCACCCGGAACCGGCCGGGCCGAGCGCGCGCGCGGAGAGAGGCGAGCTCCACCGCCCGGTCCTTGCAACGCACGGCCTCCCGCGGGCACACGCGGGTGTCCCTCTGTCCCGCCGTCCACACCGATGTGCGTGCGTGTGTGTGTTTGAGCTCTTGGTGCCAGGCACCGAGTCGAGAGCTGTGCGTTTAAGAGTGACTGCACTTCCGCTGGTCCGCCGAGCGGAACACAGCAGCGCGTAATTACGGTTCGTGCGCGTCTGTGCTGGGAGAGCGCGCTTCCAACCGGGGGTGCGGGGCTGCGATGCGGTCACGCCTGCCGAGGAGCAGTGTCATGGACCCTGGATCTTGCAAAAAATGAACGTTCTTTAAATAGTTGGGGCAAATCGGAGAGGGTCATTATCCACACAGGGATGAGCGTGGAAGAACGAGAGAATTTGGAGACAGGATTTGTAGACTCGTTAAGAAATGACGTAGGTAGTGCATCGGAGTGAAGTTTGTGAAGTTTGCAAACTTACTGAGCACTGTGGGCCCGTACTCTGCTGAGGTCCTTGTACAGAATAGGCCATTTGGCCTTACACTCAAGAAGAAGGTATCCCATGTAACAGTGATGCGGGAGCGGGGGAACCAACAGGCTTAGAAACGAGCGCAAGTTCTACAACTGATAAAACAGTCGAGGCTTGAGCACAATTCATTCATCTCAATGTAATTTAGTTTTTATTGCCAGGAATAGTATGACTGTGGCTGAACTAGTATGTTCTCATTGAAAACCATGGCAAGCACAAATAGCGAAAGGGTTTTTGCAAAGAAGATTTTTTAAATACTTCCTTCAAAGGCTGATATGAATTCTTTGCCTTCTTAAAACAAGGCCGAAGGGGTTGATCATACATTAGATACTCAGCACCAAAAAAATTAAAAAAAACAAGGGTTTAGCCCCACTGTCATTATTTTGTAGTTTATTTTAACTTCTCCTCAAAAATTGAAAATACAAAGCTGAAAGTTTCTGAAAGGCTGAGCAGCTGTGCATACCCAGATTTTTTTTTTTTTCCTGCGGGTGTGAGGAGCCTGCCATTTATTTACAAACTGCTTAGGGATCTTGACCCAAGGCCCAGCCATGGTTTGCATTGCACCATCAGCTACTGCAGACTAGGTCTCTAAGTGGGGACCCTTTCCCCGGTAGAAGCCACTTTCTTTGTCCAGCTGCTCCCGAGAAAAGAGTGCTAAGCTGCAGGATGGAAGCAGAGAGTGAAGCTGGATGCAAAGGGTCTACTGTGCGATGCCTTGGGCTGGACAATGATGTGTCCGGAGACCATGGGACAGCACCCGTTTCTCTCTAGCTGCCAGTGCGTTCCGGCTATTCCCTTACACTTTTAAGAGGGCATTCCCTACTCCAGCCCTGATCTAGATCCCAGCTGCCTCCTGCACTAGAACAGCTGGGATACCTTCCTTTTGGCAGTGTTGGGGGTGGGGGGGGCAATTCCATCTTTGCGTTAAAGTGTGCCTCGTGCATAGTTACCCCTTGGCACACAGGGTTGAAGGAAACCGTAAGTTGTTCACTGTTCTGTCTTCAAACAGTTAATATTTACATTCTGAGAAAATATATTCGTCCTTACCCTAAATTGCAAATTTTGCAATTACAAGCACTGATTTACTTTTTTCCGAGACAACCAAAGTAATTATCAAATGAGAAATTCTACACTTTCCAAACATATTCACAACCAAAATATTTTTCAGCGTAGTTACTTGTTCATTAAATTTAAATGAATTTGATTTTGGACGGAGGGGTTAGGAGGCTTTAGCTTCTGAACTTATCCGATAAGCAACTAACTTTTCCCCACTTAAAAAGAAAATAAACCTATATCAGTATAATACTGTGAGTTGATAAAGTTAAGACCAGAACAAAACCGAGACCTGGACAGTCTAGATTGCTTTCTGAGTGACCAAAACATCCTGATTTGAAATTTTTAGAGGAAAGCCTTATTTTGTAGGGAAAAAAAAACACTTGTAATTAGTTGATCTTAACACGCAAGTTAAACTAACAGTCAATGATCTTAGTATAGTAGGAAAGATTCAATCTTGACCTTAATGATAGTCTCCATTATTGAATTTGTTGTTATATGTCAAGCAGTGTGATCTCAGTATTTTAGATAAATTCTTTCTTTTAAGCTTCCTTGAAAACCAGAGCTTTACATCTTGTATCCCCATTTCCCAAAAAGGAAAAAGGGCATAAGAAAGTTAAATTACTAAGAGAAGGGGCAGAGCCTTGGATCAGAACCATGAGTGTGACTTCCTTATGTTCTAGGAGTCCCTTAAATTCTAGGAGTTGGCCTCTCCCCGTCTTCTCTCTAGACTTGAAGTTGAATTGGTGCTGCCCCCTCTTTCTTTCCATGTTCTGGATGTTCAGGTTGGAGGTAGCCACGAGGACCGAAGTGTTTTATCCTGAAGCAACTGCTGAGGGCTAGAATGCAGAATGACCTGACTGGGCAGAAAGGAGAGCTCTTCTCCAGCCAGGAGGGTCTTCTACAGCATTGGAGAGGTAGCGAGCTGACAGCCTTGTGGAGGAGTCTCATTTTTAAGAAACCCACAAGGAAACAGTGGAGCATTTGGAGACTAGCCCAGTTGCACTGCTAATGGTGCTTTTCCCCCTTGTGTTCTCTGCTTCTTGTCTTCTCATAAATGGGTTACCTGAGCAGATAGGAAATAAACATAAAATTATTTTTCCAAGCTCATACAGCAAGAGAGGTGTTCATAGAACTGCTGTTAAGCCTGGAACGTCTCTGTCTCGTAGCCCTCTAGCCAATATCCCTTTCCTAATCATATCCTGCCTTGGTCTTTCCGCACCAGCTTGTACACTCTCTCTCCATTGATTTTCCACCGTCCACTGCTGCCACACTTTGATCCTATCCACAAAGGCAGCATGACCCTGTAGACCTCTGCGCAGGCAGAGCAGTAGCTCTGTAAGAAAAGAGCCCTACCTCCCACCTTGTTGGTTTCGTTTGTAGAGCTAATCTCAGTCCTCTCTGAAACCACCGTTTTCCTTTTCCAAGCATGCACACAGAGTAGCAGTCCTTACACAGTAAGTTAGAAGTCTCCCTGCTGTCTAGTTAGTGTCAGTGGGGTAGCAGCTGATCAGAGTGTTTCATGTAGGACGTCAAAATTCACTTGGGAAATGAAGTTTTTGAGAGGACGTGGTGCTTTTGAAATGATTCTTCCCATGTTTCTTCAGGGAAGTAAATGCTTATTTAAGGCCTATAAAAGACAAACAATATACTAAGTCATACAATCTACAGGTTAATCTGAGAATAACAATTTACATGTTTTTTGTTTTGTTTTGTTTTGTTTTGTGTTTTTGTCTTTTTGAGACAGAGTCTTGCTATGCAGTTCAGATTGGCCTTGGCTCCCTTTATATCTCAGGCTGGCCTCGAACTAGAAACGA